CCCAAAGGAGACAGTGGCCCTGTCTTGGTGGCTCCGGAGCTGGGCAGAGGAGTCTGGGCACAGCTATGGCCCTCCACCCCTCCCCCACCCCCATCAGGAGGCTCCACTGCCTGCAGGGTCGCCCCACCACCAAGGCTGCCGGCAGACGGCCCCTCACCCCGGAGCTTTGGCTGAGCTCTGCTTCCTCTCACCCCACTGGGGCTGGCCCAGGCCCCACCCCTGCCTGCCCTGCCCCCACCCTGCCTCCAGGGCCAGGGAGGCCCAGCAGGTCCCTTAGGAATGTGACCAGACCCGGGGTGCCGGGTGGCCCGCGGCTGGGAGGCTTCAGCCTGGTCTGCCAGCTAGAACTGCCTGGCTGAGGCAGTCTGGGGGAGGGGCCACCAAGGACCCACCAAGAGCCAGGAGGGCGCAGAACCAGCTCTGTAAGTCCCTGTTGAATGGGGTTGGACGCAGGTACGGACCCCAAGGGCTAAGGCCTGTTCACAGAGCCCAGCCCCTGCACAGGTCAGAGGCAGCCAGAGGATGGGGTGAGCAGTCAAGAAGCAGGAAGAGGGGCAGATGTGGCAGCCCAGGTACAGACGGGACACCAAAGTGACCCTCTGAGCCAACCTGCCACCCAGCTCCCTAAAGTCCACACACTCCCCAGAAGAACCTCCTCCCAGGCCCCGAACCAGTGATACCTTCATGCCAGAGCAGTGGGAGGGGTGGGGGCACCTGCGGGCTACCATCCTGAGAAGGTCCCCATGGGCTCCTCCAGCCCCATCCACAGGTCACGAGATCAAGGTTAGGCAAGGCCTGGACCAGAGCTCCCTGCAGGAAGGACTGGAGCAGGGCCTGTGCTGGGTCTGAGGGAAGGGGGACTGGGGGCGGGGCAGACGCCACAGTCTTGCCCTCGGATGATCACTGCCTGGGGCAGGACCAGGATGCGCGTGCACACACTTCTCAGTGGTGCCACCAGCCTGCCACCTCCTCCCAGGCAGGGCCCAGTTGGTCCACCAGACATCTGCAAGTGAGAGCTCACCATCACCCCACTCAAGGCCCCTCCTGCTGTCAGGCCAGGACCCCCACAAACCTCCGCTCTTCTCTGCCCGCTGTGGGACTGCAGGTGCCTGTCCCGAGAGGCCTGGGCCAGGGGACTGGAAGCACGGCCAGGGACTGGCACAGGAGCCAACGGCTCAGCTCCCCACTGGGTACAGAGGCTGGTGCTCAGCCCTGGCAGGGGCCACTCATGGACACAAATGAGGCTGCCGCCTGGCACCGACTCCTGGCAGCAGGCCCAGGCCATGTGCCTATCAGCACCAAGAGTCCCACACCTGCCAACCCTGTGACGCCCAGGGCCCGGGACAGTGGGACAGCTGGTCTGGGCTATCCCAGCCAGCTGGGGACACCTCTGAAGCAGAGATCTCGTCCCTCCTTGGGGTAGAACCTTGAGGAAGGGTGGAACAGACACTGTCCCCCCTTGGGAACCCTAGTTCCCAGCTATTCCGGGGGGGGGGGCAGGAACACAAACACAGCCACTGTGAGGGCTGGTTCCACCTCTGTACATGGGAAGGATGGAGGAAGGAAAGGGAAGAATGCTATTCCCACGTCCTGAACCACACGCACACACCTTGTTTATAGCACGATCAATACCTTCCACCCACCTGTGGGCTAACCCACCCACAGGCCCCTAACCCACCCGCAGGCCGCTACTGCCATAAACTGAGGCAGGTCTGTGTAGGTTCCTTTGCTTCCCCCCATGACCCACACTTGAGGGGCTGGGCCATGACAGCGTACCCCCTACCATCCAGCCACTGGGCAGATACGCCCAAGGCAGGGCTGGGGGAGTCTTAGCAGCCTCCCTCTGCAGTTCCATCCAGGCTCACCCTCTGCCACCCTAAAGGGTCCCCCAAGCAACATCCTCCTGGGGAAGAATCATCTTGGAGGCACACACCCCAAAAACTGAAACTAACAACCAAACCCACTGCTGTGGAGTCTATTCTGACCCACAGCGCCCCTAGAGGACAGAGTGGAACTGCCCTGTATGGTCTCCAAGGCTGTCAATCTTCAACAGAAGCAAAGCCCAAACCACACCCCCTGCCCTGGAGTCTATTCCGACCCACAGCGCCCCAAGAGGACAGAGTGGAACTGCCCACAGGGTCTCCAAGGCTGTCAATCTTCAGGGAAGCAAAGCCCAAACCACACCCACTGCCCTGGAGTCCATTCTGACCCACAGCGCCCCTAGAGGACAGAGTGGAACTGCCC